CACCCGCCCCCCCGCTCTGCCACAGAAACACGAGTTGAGCCACTAATGCTGTTGTTATGGGTCGTTTCATTACATGACCTGTGTTTGACCTTTACTGATACATAAGGAAAACAACATTTGAGAAGTATGTGGTCAGTATTGTATAAAATGTGTCTAGTTGGTACAAAAAGTTTGCTGACAAGTTATTGTTGTTTACATTGTGGTACTGCAGAAAAATAATAGTAGTCTTTGTATTCGTTTTGCAGTTAGCAAGCAAGCTGATAGTGAAGTGTGAAGTGTGTAAATCTGACTCAGCCTTGATTCTTGAATCAAATTACAGATCGTTCTTATCTGCTAACTACTACTAATACTGAGCTGACAAACCAAGTTTGGTCCATTGCGGGGGGCCACTGCAAAGAAGCTAATGGTTCACATGTGGCTTAGGAGCCATAGGTTGCAGACACCTGCTTTAATGTATCACTGAGAGGAATTACTGACAACAGCAGCCACAGATTTCTTTTATTTTTTTTGTCACCTCAAGTAATTTTACTATAATATTCCTGGGCCAAAATTGATATTTGTAGGGCTATCAGTTGCTAAATCAGATTATTATTACCATACAGACTTAAATGGATTTTCTTTTTATTATTATAGCGGCCCCTCCCACTGCCAGAGGAGGCACTGGACCATTTCCAGAGCTTTTAGCTTGAAAGCAGTTTCTCTGGCCTCATTATTAACCTAATTAATTGTGCAAACAATTATCAACAAGGCAATATGCAAATGTCAAAAAGCGAAAAGAAAAAAAAAAAACACTCTCCTCTGCAGTACTCTCATGTTTTCAGGCCAGCACTGAGCGTGTCATTACTATTCACAGTATTGTTTTCCACCTCCTACCATGGCTAAAATTGTCATCCACGGCAGAGGGCCTGTCAGCCATGTGTCACTGCGGCTCAGGTCTGTCATAGGCTTCAACGCACAGCTGGACATAATGAAGTGCAACGTGCACCCGGCCCCTGACCTGCTCACCAGCACACACCTCCACCAGCTGCCCCCACCTGAGCAGAATGGAGCGGTTTCCAAAAAAGCCCTGTTGCCATCTGCTGCAGAGAGGAACTGACACTTTGTTCAAATCTGGCTGGATTACAGGGTGATCTGCCTTCAAATGAGTTTGATTGTATGTCTTCCTCTGGTGTAGCTTCGTGTTTGCCCATTTAACCTTGACTGGAGAGGCATTTCTCAGAGTTAACTCCCTTTTTCCGGTTTTTCTGCAGAGTGCATGAAGCATAAAATGACAAAACAGGATCAGGTAATCCACACCGTAACTCAGCGATAAGGAAGCACACATCGCAGTGAAGTGACAAAAATTAGTCACTGGTTGAGGAAGACGGGTGTAGACTTTACCTTTCCTCTAAGTGAGGATGAATTGGACCACAGTGGAGCAGGGAGCAAGGGCTTAGCCCCCCTGCCTGCGGCTTGATAGAATAGAGCTGTGAACCCTGGGAAATTAGGATCTAAGCAGGCAGTAGATCACCGAGCCCGCTGGCCCCGTCTCTATCAGAGAATATCTCACACCTGCAGACACCGACCAGCTCCAACACCACACACACAGTCGATATCTAGATTAATCTGTGAGGTGAAATCAATCAACCACTCGGTGGCGTCTCACACAGCCCCGGTGGCTCAGTGGTCCTGCAGGAAGAGAGCGATACGTCTCGCTGTGTTAGCGACACCGACACTGAAGCTCCGTCCTTTTACATGGAGGAGCTTCATTTAACGGCGATATTGTTATCGCCACAATGAAATTGAACAACAATTTAAGGGAAAAAATGTTTTCAGGTTCAAAACTTTATCCTCAAACAGATGGTTCTAGATCAGACGATGGGCCTCGTTTTGAAACTAAAATAGTTCATTTATTATATGTATTTCAAAACATTATGTTTACTCTTTATACATCCCTTTATTTTTTTTCTCTCTAATATTGGTTTTTAGGAGGCTTATCTTAATTCCAAATCTGAAACTGTATTGTCCTTTCAGACAAATGAGTTTTGTGAATCTTTTTTTTTCTTCCTGATCCTTAGTTACACTTTTTAGAATGGACAGCGTGCTTTAATCTGAGTGGGTAAAGTGATCCAGGTTTCAGCTCCTCATTCTTTAACAGGCCTGTTTCATAGACACGTCCCTCCATCGCTCTTATGAGTGACCCACGCTCGCAGTCAGTCTGCTGCATCGCTTTTGACCGAGCTGTCCTGAAGATTGAATGCCTCTATTTGGGCGAAACAATTGAGAGAAAGATTTGGTTAAGCCGCTGGAAAGTGTGTCTCAGTGGATCTCTTCATCATTCCTTACAGCCAATTTCACAGGTTAATGGGTTAAGAAAATAGACCCCGCACTTTACTGAGGAGTTAGAATTTACAGTACTTTTGGAATTCATTGAAAAATAACTGGTGACGCCTGTAGTTATACATAGGGTACTTGCCCACTGTTGCCAATTCTGGGTGATTCATGGCCAGTGTTACTACAGCACAGAATACAAACTAAAGTATACCTGAGTATTTGATATTGTGATAAATACTTGATTACCATGTATTAAAAGAGTATGCACCCAAACAGCTAAATTGTGACACCTTTGCTCAGTGATAATTTTTATGCAAATGAAAAGTTCATTAACAACAGGCAGTTTTAAAATTTATAGATTTATTTATGGATAAAAGTAACTTAATCTGTTCCAAAACACACCAGTTTAATATATTATATGTGTATTACAGGGTCTAAAAAAAAAAAAACTTGTTTGCCAGTATTTATATTTTGCTTGTTTATTGCGAGTATAAAACAATATTTTTTCCACTAATTCATTTTTTTTATATATTTTGGATCTATATTATTTGAAATAATTCAGTACTATTAGCTACAGGCTAAAGTCATTAGCTTGTTATTTATTTTTTTCTCTGGATTTAAATCAGAATTTTCTGTCAACAGGAACCAAAAAAAATAAAAATAAGATGTTTGTGTCTGTTTCTTATATATGGCCCAACGTCAAAGCAGACCATAACAAATATAAATTATAAATTACTTTTTCAAAGCATGTCAACCCTTTTGCTTTTTCGTGGTTTCCTCCGTGTTTCCATGTTACCATGCGTTTAGCTCTGCTTTGTTCCTCTGATCCCGGTGACAGATGGATGGGTTTCAAACCCTCAGTGCTGTCCTGCACGTCTTTGAGCTTTAGATGCTGTTTTTCATTGAAAGGATTTACTGTGTGGGAATTCTAGGCTTACATGTCTCTGAGCAACAGAACCCAGCCTTCAATGCATCAATATTATGCCCTTTAGCTGCAGCTGAAAGTAATGAAACATTTCGATGATGCGCTGCTACCTTTTGAAGTTCAAACTACACAGAATTGTGGAACTATTCTTCCTCCTCTGCAGAATGCCAATCTTCACAGCAGTGTGTTTACTTTTTTTTTTCCTACCATCTAATTGTACATTTATCAGCCATCAGGTCCATATTGACGTTAGAACAATTAATTCTTTATTCTTGTCCAGGCCATTTGTTTTTTATTTTATAACCCCTACATTTTCCTGCTTCTAGGAGCAAGCGGTGACACAGCAGACTGCACTCCAGCACTAAATTAATTGCCTTTTTCTAATCAACAGAGAAATAGTGTGGCTATGCAAACGAAAATCAACAAACCAACCAGATCAGCGGCCAATGATTTACCCAAATCTTAAAAAGAAGAAGAAGCAAAATAAAAGGATTCAACTTGAAAAACAGTAGTTTAACAAAAGTCCATTTCATTTGTTTGGCACAAAAGAAT